AGAGTCAGTCAAACTATAAAGAACAGAACCCCAAATTTCTGTACTCCTGCCCTAACATATCCAAGGAAGTGGTCTACCATGATCAAAACAAATCTCTTGTTTTTATAAGTTACAGTAGAATGGTTGCATTTAACTATGAAAAAAGTGTTTACCAATTAAAAAATCTAAGGATACAAAGCAAGTTTGAATTGGGAAGTTTCTTCTCTGACAAATTAACAGCTGAAGAACAGGGCATGGTTGGAATTAAAGACATGCATTTTCTGGAAGACAGAATATATCTAATGATTCAAACATACCTACTGTTCCATTAGGATGGAAGTGATTCTGATCATACATGATTAATGATGTAAAGTTTATCAGCCGATGCTATAACTTAAGAGTAAATAAAGCTTTAATCCTAACCAGTTGAACAGTGAGAATTTTCAAACATCAAGAGGATGAAAACAGGCATTCCCTGGCCTTCTCAGAATTTTACCTTTGGCCTTTCCAGAAAGGTAAGATTGTAAGGAAGCAAAGATGTGCTTTTCCCATCTGAGGGCAACTATAGACATGAAAATTAATCCAGCAACAAAATTCAGTGAGCAACTATTTCAAAACTTAGCCAAAGACTTGCTTATCTCACACCAGCTGGATAGCTCAGCTCTTAACAACTGTTTTAGGAGACAGATCCGGAATGTCTGCTTTCCATGTAGCTTTGCCAGAAGTACTTTAGAGAGAGCCCTAACTACAGATTAGGTGTCCCTGAATTAGCCTGGTTGAACCAGCTTGTGACAGTGGCAGGAACACACAACTGGAATGCTTACAACAGGCATGCAAGCTGTTCTCTCCTCCTAAAAAACAGTTTGCAGGAGCCAAAGCCATAAGCATTGCCAGGTTCTGATTTCTGAGCAATTGTAATTCCTTTCCTGCACTGTACATCATCTTTAAGTATCTTTCTGCCAAAGATATTCAGATATGCATAACTACTGCAATAACACCACCTTGGAAAAGATAAGAACTTGGTCATTACTGGAAATGAGCTGGCATGCAAACAAAATAAATAGATTTCAGTCACGCTGGTAGGCTGGGACAGGGGGAGAACAACATTTAGGTTTGTTTCCATAGGAAGTCATGTTCCTGCATTCTCCCCTAACCATGGCCGTGTTCAAAACTAATCCCTTACCTCAGGAAAAATTGTTTTCAGATTCCTGCACAAGTTAGGTAAAATGCAGACTCTTCAACTCCCTTTCTTTTTAAGAAAAAAGAAATTCAACATAGGAGTGTATGGAGAAGAGGCAAAACTGAAAAAAAATCAAGTCTTGGAGAAATACTGTGCAGTCAGTATATTGCTCTTAAAAAGCACAGTGTACTAAGAATTCTCTCATGTGCTCTAGTCTAGTCATCTAAAGCAAGCAAGCTGATGATACATATGCTTGTAATATACAACATGATAAATAATTATTTAAAGTTTACAATGATACCCAGCATAGTTATACCGATCAAAACTTCGGTGCCTTCAATTCTTCCCTCAATATATCACAAAAGGCATATCTCAGTAATTTTAGCATAAAATAAGTAGTGTTGATAGAAGAAGGAGGTGGGTGTTGATTAACAAGAGAGTTAGCAATGGTTCATTAATATTGGAGGAACAAACAGTGACATATGTACATGTGATAACATCATAAGAAATACACATTCCATTTAGTACCACATTCACAGAAATGTATTGAGCCTCTCAGATTACCTTTGAGGCTGCCTTAAGTCCCTTTGATTTCTAGGCTCCAAAACTCCCTTCCCAACACTGTTCCAGTACAGCACAGGTTCAAAAGCAATTTTGAAGCAATGTTATCAGGAAATGCCTTTGTGGAGTAAGTTTACCTTAAAAAAAAGGCCAGAGGAATGCTTAGCTACTCAAGAGAGGAGTAGCCATCTAAGAGGTTATTTTCTCTCTCCCACCAGAAATCCCTATCAAAAGACAAAATGCATTGTGATAGAATCATTGTATCAACCAACACTTTTAAATCTAAGCAAAACCAACTTATTTTGGCAGTTCCCTGCTAACTGTTAGGAGTCCTCACCATTGCTTACAGAGCTATTCATCAATGCTGCTGAGAGTCTGAGCTTCTGTGAACTTTCCATCAAGGCCTGGTAGAAGTAGTAAGCCAAAATCCTTATCCTACAGTAACACAAACCAACAGTTTACAAATAGTAGGGTTACTTACATCTGTAAGTGCTTTTAAGATTAGGGCTTAAGCCAGAAACAATTAATGGACTCAATACTTGCAGGGCTGCACATTCCAAACAACTTATGAAACTGTTGGATAGTCTGACAAAAGCATAAGTTACCCATTGTCTAACATCCCATGGCAAACAGAGTGGAAGACACATCAACACTAAGGCAATGCTGTCATGTTAAAACACATACCCCTCTATTAGAGCAACAAATGCCCCAGCAACCTAAGGGCTGTAGGGCAAAGAGCAAACAGTGCAAACACCAGGGCTTGAGTGTCAGAGGCACTTTTCCTACTGTTAAAATGGCAAATATGTATGTGCCTTTTGGTGATCCCTGTTTGTGTCTCACTGCTGCAAAGAACAAGTTAACAGTTCTTAACACATTTCCATTTCTACTCAGCATTCATTACCAAAGTGACTACCATGTTTGGTTTTCCATCAAAGGAGACTGCTTCACATCCACTTAAGGAAGAAGGAAACTTTTCATGGCCCCTGTTTTGCTTTACTTGCAGGGTAATCAAATTTTCTAACAGCAATATTAGACTAGAAGTCTGGTCCTCGAAGTACAGTGGGTTCATCTGCCTGCAGGAGCTTCCAGATTCACAGTCAACTGATCAGATTGGCCACAAACACAGGAATTCTCACTCAGACAGTCCTGCCTGAGATGTCTGCTGGAACTTATCTTGATGTATTCATTCTTACTGCTTTGAAAACTTTAAACCCTTTCCAGAACTGTTATTTTCCTATTTCCCTCCTTTATAACTTAAAAAAAGGAAAAAAAAAAAAAAGATCTTTACTTTCTGGACCTTTTAGTATGAAGTTTGTCATGCTTTGTGGAGAAGTTTATGGAAAGCTGGGAGATTTTAAAACAAAAACATGACAAACAGGACACAGCATTTAACCCACCACTAAGCTGACCCAGAACTGACTCCTCACTAATGGAATATTGGCAAGGTGCATCTATTAATCAGCTCTTCT